GACGCAGCTACCTACTTAAACAAGTTCTTCGACTTAACTCATTAAGGCCACAGATGTAAAAAAAAAACTTAAGTATTTGATAGTGATTTTAGTTTGTTGTAAAGGGCTCATATATAACTGTATAATTATTATGACATTTATATGGTGATTTCACAAAAACAATTACCTAGGAATAGGTACTGTGTTGTAACAACTGTATGGTCTGTTATTAACCCATAAAACTTAACACTAGGCATCAGTTTAAAATGGCTAACCTTGTGCAAATGCAAAAAACACTGAGTTGGTTGTTTTATTTATTCAGTTTAATTAATGGCAACTCATGGAAATGTCCTTACCCTATGCAATGACATGGAAACAAAAGCGGACTGCAATGTTTTCAATAAGAAATAAGATAAGATCACTTTATTGGCCATATACAATTTCTTGTATTAGGAATGATTATTTTTTCACATACACCAACTTGCTCTCCATGACACACACAGACAGAGAGGGAAGCTTGGGGTCAGAGCGCAGGGTCAGCCATTTATACGGCGCCCCTGGAGCAGTTGGGGTTAAGGGCCTTGCTCAGGGGCCCAACAGAGTAGGATTCCTCTGCCGGCCGCGGGATACGAACCGGCAACCTTCCAGCCACAGGCGCAGATCCTTAACCACAGAGCCACCGCTCCGCGGTTGACAAATAGAAGGACAAATATTCATGACGTACAATGCCCTGGGTGCTTTCACAGAATCACCACTGAAAATAAAATTTCCTGTGCTTAATGATTAGAGGTGCTTAATGATTAGAGAAGAAAGATGTTATGAAGCCTGTGGTCATGGGTAAACAAACTCAGGAGTTCCCTGGGAAATATGCATAACTGCTTCTGCTGGAATACCACAGTGTGTGCCTGCTGAGTGCCAAAGCAAATCAAATTTAAAAAATCTGGCTCTGCTACATTTGATACATCAGTTCTGGCTGCATGATAATGCCAGGTCACATACTGCTAACAGCACTGTGTTTATGGGGTTATGGGTAGGACTTGCTGACCCATCGGCCTCATAGACCTGGCTTGGCATCCAGCCTTTTAATTTCTGAAAGTAGCAAATGCCCAGTAGTCAAAACGGACCAACATGCAGGATTTCATCAACACTAGAGTCGATTACAGATGTCAGGGAAAACAGAATGCGTTATTGGTTATATTGTGCATGCACCTATGTACAATCCACTTACCATATTCTGTGGGATTGAAGCATGATTCTGACAGCCCAACACATCTCTAATAAAGGACTCGTCACAGCATTTACCCACCCATAAGTAAAGAACCTAGAGGAAATAAACATTCAGGCTTACTGTTATTAAACCCAACATGTAATACTCTACATGACAAGACCATTCATTGTGAAACTATTAAAAATCATAGTAAAACATTAAGTGACCTAACGGGTAAAAGAAAAAATGGGCCGGACATAGCCTAAAAGTAAATACATTTTTATTTAATGGACTAACAAGATCAAATTTATGAAGAGAACACTGAGTGAATTAAGAACACAGAAAATCAAGAAGAGCCCAGTACTCACTGTGCTACAATCCATGAGAAAAGCCCCTTCTCTTGTCAGCTTCTCTGCAGTGAGTTGGAGAATAGAAGGCTGGGGCACAATGCTGTCATTAACATGAAGCGCGCCCTGTGAACAAGTTAAATTGGTCAACAAACATTACAATTCCAAGTATCCTGAGCTAATTATGTACAGCATACATACAGTGCCCTCCACATTTATACATAACACCTAAAAATAACAAAAACATAATTTCATTAATAAATTATGGATTGCTTAAAGAGTATTATAGGTTTTAAATACAAGTTTATCTTGTAATTTCAATAGCATTGCACAAGGCAAAGTCCTACTTGTCATAAATAATTAAATCTACAAAATATAAGGATCACATCGATTCATGTCTATAAGTAGTCAAATAATATGGTAGCCTCTGGAACTATACAAGGTTTTTTTTGTCCCCCCCCTCCCCAGTATATATCATTCTTACATGAATATATTGATCCCCCATGTCACATTACCTCATCAGACAGATTGTCTATTCTGTATAGGTTAGGATGAATCAAGCGCATTATTTGCTGCAGGGGCTGACTTTTGAATTCGCACATAGCAAAAACCCGGTCATCCAGACGTGTGCTAGTGCCTGTCCTCAGGGCTTTCTGCAGAACAGAATGAAAACTGATAGGTCAGTTAGCTCTACAGTACAGCAAACATGCAAAACTAATACAAAAGGGAATATTTAAAAACCAACCTATCCGATAAATATATGAAGGGCAGTACATAATACACCAATACTTAACGGATTACAATTGACAGCCATCTTTAATTTTATCTAGGGTTCTGCTGTTATCAACTGGAAATCACTGCTCTTGAAAGTGCAGTAGGCTGCTTTTATAATATTTTTAATTACCCAGGTTATGAATGTTCCTGTCTTGAGCCCACTCTCTGGCTCACCATAGCCCTGTATTAGACTCAGCGGCTATTAAAAAAACGAATTGATGTACAGTATATTTTTAATGCTGCATCAGCCAAGACACAGCACTTGGGTTTATAATATTTTAATAATTAATTAGGTATATACACTAATAAGCAGGTAGGCCTCCTCTCATTTATTTCATTTTCCACTTCTAGTATGAATGACAGTTGCATTTTAGTCAGGCAGTGGTTACATTATTAGTGACAAACGTACTTCTTTATTTCAAAACAATAATAAATATCAACACAGCAGAGATACGCTACAAGTAATTAGGCAGTTTGCATTTTCTGCATTTTTCCTTATGACATATGAATGCATCCTTACTGGATTGAGGGTCTCCTTACTTGGAACTACAGACTGTTACCCACTTTACCTGTTTGAGCAGTGCTAAGACATAGAGGGGGAAGAGTCGCAGTGAGGCAGGAGCAATGAGGCTGTTCTGCTGGAGGTTGGAGGTAGTGGACCGGTATGCAGCCAGAGAATCCACCACTGCATTTACCAGTGCATCCCGTGCATCCGACAGATTGGAAGACACAGATCGGTCGATAGCTTGAAAGACGCACAAAAAAATCCCATAAACATTTTCCACAAAACAACAAATTCATCTAACCATGATAAAACGTGGAGTGAGAGGCGATTTTATTAAGTATATAAAACTTTAGAAGGTCAACCCAAGGGACTACACAGAACACAAAACCATAGCTGGGAAGTCACATGGGAATTCATTTAGGGAAAAAAAATGGTAAAGTCTGCTTTTATACAAAGGATCTGGATGTTTTGATCAGACTTCCTAGCCAGATGGTTGAGACCCAAATTTATTTTTCCCCAGACTTTTTTAAGAACTGATTGAATTAAATTTTAGACTTGCTTAGCTACTAAACAACATGCCTTGATATTATGGATGGAAGCAAGATGGAATATAGTGGTTTTCTTTTAAGAAAGTGAAAGGAGTGAAAATTGTATATTTTCAAAACACACTCTCAGCCAGAGCCATTAGTAAAAGAGTACTTTCAAATACAGTGCTTTAGGGTTTTATTTTTTTGCCAAAAATATACACCACATATCACATTAGTTTTTATTTATGCCTTTCCCTTGTACCAAATGCACATGAACTTCTTATCTTGACATAAGATAAGCCCAAAATGGTGTTCAAAATGTATTTGGTCAGCCAGTAGTAATGCGGATTTGAAGGATAGTAGAAGACAAATGCATTAACAATGACAGAGGTTTAAAACTGTAATACAGAATACATAAAAACTTTAATTTTGACTGTTCCACTTGCCAACCTCAAATCATAAATCTTCCACTTTATTAATGGAGGTTTTTGCACCTACTCAAAGTCTTCTTTAATTTTTACATATTCCTGATGGGCAAGGTACTTATTCTCATGGGAATATTATTTACTTTGTTAATAACCATAAAAGCTACAACACTTACTTTCTTTACAATGAAAAATGTCCTTACAAACTGACAGTCTTATCCATCACTTAATTTGGAAAAAGACTGAACATCATATTGAATAAATTGACATCTGGGTAACATGATTCCAATTAACTGTGAACCACAGATTACTACACATCAGTTGTTCCATATAAATAACTGAAAGGTACTTTTTTCATTATTAAAAGTCTAAGAAAGCAGGGTCTGTAGTGTAGTGTAATATGTAGTACTCACCCATATTTGCCAAAAGGCACGTGATGGCTTGAACATCAGCCCCAGCAAAGACATCATTCAGCGAATTCACAACAGGCAAACACAATGTGTGCACCCGAATTCTTCTCTTGCCTGAAAAAGGGAAAGTTTGTGGGGTTCTGTACAACAGTCTGATGTCAACTCAAATAAACCTTCAATGGCTTCTAAAAGGAAATTTACAGGTGTAAATGTAAAGGAAAGGAAACCTAAAAAATCACTTTCAGTACAAAGCCTTAAGAGAACAAACAAATCTTGACTCAGTTGTTTTGCGATTTCCAATGTGGGATGTTGTTGAGACACGTTTTACTAGAAACCAATTCTTTTATTACCTTTGCTGGAAGTGTACAGAAGGGCTGCCTGAAAGCAAACTAAAGATGTGTCGGCTAGGCTTTCTTCAATTGACATTTGCACAGCAAAGCCAGAGTCTGGATTAACATTTGCCAGGGACAGCAGATCAGTAGAACGGACAAAGAAATTCCCATGAAATGTGTGGATAGAAAGTCCTGGAAAAAAATAAATAAATTGTTTAAAGTAACACAGAGATTTTCCATACTATAGTCATCTTATTAAAGAATGCATCATAAGGTTAAAGATATGAGTTCCTGAAGTGAATAACTGGAATTGGCTCCAACAAAAGCAGTGTTATAAATAAATTAATCAAAACTCAAAGAATACCAGAGATTAGCAAGAAACTCAATATACAGGAACTAAACTTGAAAGCAAATGCAGAATTAATGAGTGCAGAGCTTACCTTTGGTACATCTGATTCTCATTACTGCCTCAAAGCCAATCTTTCTGGTTAAGTATCTCTGGATGTCTTTCTGAAATTTCTCTGTTTGGGCAGGATTGTGTATGTGATGGAAAGATGGATAGTAAAAGATGCTTCCAGCTGAATATTTAGATACACAAGCTGAGAAAAGAAACATTTTGTGTTATTACCTAATGAAACAAATTTTTCAAGGCACATTTAAATAATGCCAAATGGGGGAAATAATTATTTTTTTATTACACAAGGTATAAATGTTGGATATTTTAACTATGCGAACTATTAAATTAATCAATCATCTTTAGCTTGTAATGGTTTAATACTAAATTGATAATTTTTTTATCAGAACTCCAAGGGATAGATTTTGGGGAAATCAATAATTACTTTTACATAAAGTCTACAGAGTACATATAGAATCTTTTAATGTTTCTTATAATAATATGCAGCATTCATCTGTGCAAAACAAAAAAAAAATACATTTGTAAATTAATACCCCACTGAATTCATACCTAATGATGCCAGATCAGAATACTGTGAGCTCAAAAGGAAAAGGTCCACTGCAATCTGTTGTCCAGAGCAGTCTAATGCTAATTTCTTGTAAAAGTCTGTTGCTGGTCCTAAGTGTTGCACAACCTTTAATCGGAGAGAGATGAAAACTTTTATTGGCATATAATGTGGAAAAATCAATAGATACAATTATGTTATTTCACACCTATGTTAAAAAAAATAAAAATTGCAATCTCATATCTTGGAACTACAACCAAGACCACAACATACTTAACTTTATACAGAAGCCGTCTTATAAATCACAGAAAATGCAACAGCTATGAACTATGAAAACAGCGATGCGATAGAACTTTTGTCACCAATTGAAAATTCATTGCAAGCCACCCATCATAGCAAGTTTTTGAACTGTCCCTGACAGAGGTGTACATGGTGTTTGAAACTGAATCAGACCAGTTGAATGAGACCAATATCTTTAACTGCCACTGTTTAGAGACCAAGTACTAATGTTGCAGTATACCTTAACTACATTTTTCCATTTAACACCTAGTTGATATTCCTAACACATTTGTGTTTGGTTTCCTTTTAATAAAACGGTGTCCCCTTCGATGCAAACATATAATGTCTGTCAATTATCAATTGTATGGATAACAAAACTCCACGTTTTTGACAAAGGAGATTTTCTTTCATGTGTTTTTGTCATTGTTTGGTTATTGACTTGGGGAAAAAATGCATTTAAATGAGAAAATATTGTGTTAAAATACAATAATGAATTTGTGAACAATACAGCCTAATATATTAATATCATGCAATATATATGCAATAATAGTCCCATGCAAAGCAGTATTGTCTTTAACAGAAGAATATCATCACACCCCTCTTTGTTCAAATAAATTAATCTAAAGGTACTCTGTACTGTCTCCTGTATACACAAAGTAGAACATGCTGTGATTGAGCATTCCAAGGTTAAACGTGTGTCTTTTTCATCATTTCTGTTAAAAGCAGAAAGAGCAGAAGAATTAATTCTTCAAGTGAACCTGCAGAAACACAATGTATATAAGTTTTGCCTAATCTTTCAAAAAATTTTAAATGACTCAAGTTGTATCATAGTGCACTGGATAATTGACTCAGATCTGTACATATACTTTAGGCCACTTCAAGCCTAAAAGGGGACACACGTTCAAATATGGAAAAAGAACTGCAGAAGTCATTTTTCAGTACTAAAAGCTGGGTGTATACTGTACCTTGGTACTAGATCTTTGGTTGGGGTCTTCTCTGGAGTGCAACTGTCCAGCCCCTAAAGAAGGCAGCTGTGTTTGGAATACAGAGACCCGTCCTCCTGTTGGGGACATGAGCTTGAAGGCAGCCTGCAAAGCAGGACCCAAAGCACTGTGCGTCTCTCTGGTGTGGGTGAACATGTTGGGCAGAGCGTTAAGCAAGTCCTTCACCAGCTACATCAAGAAAAGAAAAGAATTTCAGACAAAGAGCCAAAAGATTTCACCTGCTGATGATTAAAAAGCTGTTGATAAAGCTACAGAACCAGATGTACTACTAGGTTCCACAAAATACATAAAAAGAAAATGTTTATATTAAAGTAAAATTAAATCACGTCTTTTAGAAATTGACATTTTTAAGTGAACTTACTGTATTTTCAAGAGCATAAGTCTAGACCGAACATACATATAAACTGGTAGCAGTATCTCAAAAAGTATAAAGATTAAAAGGAATAGCCTACATAACTTGTACAGTATTACAACTGACTGTGCAATATTTAAGAAAAAACCCAAGTGATGTGTGCAATATAAAGATTGTTTTTGTAGAGCCCATACCTCTTTACTATCCTTGAGATTTACTAATAAACTGTCAGGTGTAGGTAAAAAGATATCTGAAAAATACAAACATCGACATGTACAAGTTAATGACTACCAAATTGTGATTTTTGCTTCACAGAAGGGTCATTCCATGTCACATTACACATCATGACACCCAACATCTCAGATTGCTCTGAAATGATTTGTATAGTTAGAGACAGAAAACATAAGCATCCATGTAACTATTTTGTAAAAATATAGTTTAGTCAGGGGAAAACAAAGCTGATTGATAGCATCCAGAATTGGTCTTATTAATTTAGCACCAAGCTTTACCTTCAAGAGATAATGTTTTGGAAATGTAAAGTTAAGAATAAGATCAGGAATTTTATTTTGTCATCTAGCAATGTAAAATTTGAAAGAAAATTAAAGCAAAACTGAAACTTTTGTACATGACTACACTTTTTCATTTTTTTGTCTTCGGGGCAGACTAGACATGGACAAAAGTTTCCAGTTTTATTTAGTTTTCTATTAAATCCTGATTCACTTAAACGTAAAGCTTTAAAAACACTGAGGACATTCCTCTCACTTAAGAACAGCGGCACCTCGTGGCTAGAAATTGGAATTACCACAATATCATGCAACATTATTGCCCATGGGTGAAGTTTGACCATTTATTTGGATTCTTCAGGTTCTAATAATTTTTAGGCTTTGGTACTAATTTTGATGCTGGAAATCCAGCTGGATTTCTCACACAATATTTCCAAACTGATCAAAGACTCCATTTTGTGTGTTATCAATTTGCTTAATTTTTCACAAACCAAAGCATACAAAACAATGTTACAGGGATGCTTATCATAGCTTTCTATAATTATACAAATCATTTCAGAGTAATCTTAGATGTTGGGTGTCGAAATCCACTTTTTTGTGTGTTTTCAGACAGAATGACCCAGAATGATAATTCAATTATTCAATTAGTGACGTTTCACTTCAAAAGAAACAGGAACATTCTGGTACCAAATTCACTGTTTTGCAGTAAAATGACAGTGCTGAAAATAAATGCATTAACCAAATGAAAATATATCTCATAAGAACACATCTTTCCAAGTCTCAGGTGATTTATCACACACTTTCAGGCTTATCATTTATATTTGTTATACTGTAATTTCAGAATTAAAATTGATTTTTTTAAAAACACAATGCTTAGTGGCATTTATTTTAAGAAGCATTACTAATTGCCTTTTCGTAGCAAAGAGTCCAAAGTTATTATGAATGTTCAGGCAAATCTAAACAACTAAAAAAAAAACATTCTTCCAAGATTGGGAGGAGACTGAGAAAGCCATAGACTGCACTTCATTGCACTTTGTTTTAATAAAAAAGGAGGGCTAGGCTACCTATTGCCAGTGTAGAAACTGTGACAACAGGGACAGATGCCCTTTATGATCTTTGTTATCTTAGCATTGTTTAATTGCCCCCTTTCACCTTTTTGGGGACTGTGAGCTCCCATCCTTCGTATTTTTATGATTTGTGGAGCTCTAATTTGAAACATAATTGCTAAAGAGTTAAGACGTACAACCCAATGGAGCCTTATTATTAACGGCTATTAGTAAAGTAATTTTCTTTCCCCATTCCTCAAAATGACTTTCAAGACAAAGTTGGGACCTAACTTAACATGGGATGTTGACACAAAGCAGCATTCTCATCTCAAAAGAAGAGAATCCTTTCCTTTACTGGCAGAGACACACAATAGTTACAAATGAAAATAAAATTACAGAGGCACAAAAATCATAAAATATAATTGATCTGTAAGAATATGAGAATAGAATAGCTTGTACCTTCAATATCTGAAACCACAAGCATCTGAGGCTGTGACAGGCCCTCCTGCAGGTTATAAAAGTGAATAGTGCTGTCAAAGGTTATAAACCCCACTCTTGTCCGGGTATCGCCAGGCAGCCTTAAAAAGACAAGAACCAAGATCGTAAAAATGAAATGACATTTAAGGAAAACCCAATTCAGGGAATGTCTTAATGCTGCACTGAACACTTTGTAAGGAAATATTTTGTACAATGTTCAATTACTAACAGAATGCATTATCATGGCTTTTTACAATTACTCACTTGTCCAGGTTTTCAAGCAGTGATTGACACAGTACTTTCACATAGCCAGCTTCCACTGCATTATGCGACACGTCTAAGACAAACAGGTAGACGGCAGGCTGAGGAGGACGCAGCTGTTGAAAGACGCGCATGGATTTTACTCATCACTCCCCTTACATAACATTTCTCCTGAAAGCTAAAACTGACCAGAACAAAGCTGACTAAAGTTGAGTTTAACAAAAACAGATCTTTCACTTGGACAGTAGTATATTGTCATCCTAGTTTAAAAGTAGGATCATCCTAGTTTAAAAGTAGGTGACAGCAGAGGGTTAGGAAAAGGTGTGCAAAATAAGTTTATGCGTATGTGTAATCTTACATAAACAGACTGACATTGACCAGCAAATAACTAATGATGGGGCTATGTCACAATGTACATTTTTTGTTTAGTCAAAGAACATAATGTAAATTATGTCGACAGGAAAAAGGAATAGTTATAACATTGAAAAATAAAATTTGATGCCTATTGCAAACAGCAAAAACAATTTAAATTAGAACACATACCATATAATCTGAAGATGCTATGAACTCTACAGTTGAGTTCTGTACCTCTGGTCGTTTCTGAGGTTCACCATATGACCGAGTCAGGGGATTATACATAAACTCATCTGGAACTGTAAGGAAAATTAAAATCTTCTGACAATCCCACTAAGACAAAAAAAACTGGCACACAAACAATTCTCAGTACTATTAAATACAATCACAGCTTATAGTAATGATAAAATGTAAATGTCCCATTACATTCATTTTTTAACTTGGTTTCTACCAGTGGAACCTCTGAAAATACATGTAATATGAATTAGTTTCTCTTAATTTGCAAACTTCTCCATTAAATAAAAGCATTATTTTGCATCTTTATCAAGCAATCCTTGAAGAGTGCAAATTCACACAATCCATCTTATTTATACTGTAGTGAAAACGAGAATGAGAATTCTGATAAGTTTCCACTTACCATCATTGACTCTGTAGCACAGGTTGCATTTCCACCTCCTTTGGTCAAGGAAGGTCACAAAAGGGTTAATGTATGTGCGACAAGATCGACACCTCACAATCGTGTTGGAGGTTATGACGGGTAATTGCTACAGAACAATAACAAAACAGAGATCAAGGGTCATTAGTTCTGGAGTCATGAAAAAGTTAAAAACAAGACAAATTAAAATAGGTTTGGCAAATAAAAACATCTATCCCAAGCACACAGTATAACAATTCCATCAACCAGGGGTCATCCAATATGGACACAAATTTCAGTAGTTTCTTCCAAGTTCTGGAGGAGAATGATTTGGTTAATGGATTACAAAGCTGCATGTTCCATTTCTGAAAGCAATGTCTGGACAGGTGCAAACCTGTTTGGAATCATACAAATTCTATAAATTCTATAAAGAAATGTTCCGGCATGGGTCTGATATCAACAACAGAAGGATTTACACCCAGTAAGAGACATAGAGAGGCACAGCAATGTAATCTCTACTGTCAGCAGCTTGCGATTTATCTTTCACAGACCCCCAAAGCTGAACAAGCATGATTAATATCAAAAAACAAGATTACATTTATTATAGGAGGCTATTATAAATGTCTCATTATGGTATTAAATCCTTTTTTTTGTCTTGTTGGTCTTTCAATAACACCATCTTTTTAATTGGTGTGAATACAAGAGGAAACAAAATCTAAAATCACTGAAAATACTAAAGGAGCAGAAAAACTGAAAGATTAGTCACCGTTAGATCTCTAAAGGGATGAAGAAGCAATCCCAGAGGCAGTTTGGCTTTGTTTAACAGCGCTTGGGTCTGAGGGATGTTTGTCAGTGTACATCTGAAGGTACTGAAAAAAAAGATAAAAAAAGAGGGCCACTAAATTTAATTTCTAAGGAAAGCTAAAATATTCTACATTTAAAATGTAATAATGCACACAAAAATTACAAGATGAATTTGGTTCTTGCTGCCCTCATAGACAAATTACATACATCCATTTGAAGAATATTTGGCCTTTAGTTTGTGATGTCTTCCTAAATTTCAAGCTAACTTTTCAGCATACAGATCTAGCAAAGAGAAAAAACAGAAACATTAAGATAGGGTTTCTTAAAAAGATATATATATATATTCCTAACATTTACTGAAAGGACATTAGGAATACTATATTAATGCAATATCAGATGTGTACCGATTTCAGTATACATGAATGGTCTGATGGTCTCTTGGCAGCTTTTCTTCACAATAAACTGGCAGTTGAATAAACCATGGTCCACTGAAGTTCAGCTACACCAGTGGGACATCTGCAGCAGCAGTTTTACACTAGTTTATAACAAAAAGCTGAAGAAAATTATAATTAAAAAAATAGCCAGGAAAGGGACTTTAATACAAATGAAGGTAGAAGAAATTCTGCAATGTGTTATATCAAGAGAGTTTATACAATTAATCTCTGTAAGGCAAAAGGGATATGAAGATACTGTACTGCGTATCATAAATCTGACTGGATCTAGGCTAAATATCTTAAAAAACACATTGTTGTAAACAACACAGGCTAGCTCTTACCTGTGTTGTTCACTTACTTTGCACTGCAGTTTTTTTTCTTCAAGTCTGCACTGAGGTTTGGCAAAGGAGCTTGTACAGGTCCACTGGGCAGAACATTCCTCTCCTGCAGCAGGTTCACCGGCCTCAGCCCTTCCAGCTGCTGTTCTGGCAGACTCAGCCCCCCAAGAGCTGCTGAAAGCTGGTTCATTGTGGGACATGGCTGCAAGATACCAATATAAGAGTATGTGGGCTTGTATGTACAGAGGCAGTCCATTTTCAACTCAGTTTTGCTAGAAACCTGTAATGCTAAAAAAAAAACAAATACCTAAAATACATAAATAAAAACCAGGAGAACTCTTTTGTTAATTCTGATTCACATCTACATATGTTAAAGATATATGCTTTGGATTATTTCAAATATACATCTTTTACAATATACATGAAATCTTTTATTTTACCAGGTATTTCTGCTATCAATGGGACATTTGTGGACTAATATACCATACACATATAGGTACGGGGACCTTTCCACATTCCATAAGTCTTCTCCTCAGACAAACTGAGGTATTGACTTGGTCAATAAAGATCCCATAGTAATGTTTGTAAGAGTTCAGGGTATTAACCCCAGTACACTGACTAAATTGCACCCTGAGCTTGCACACACTGTTCTACCTAACTCCCTCCCCCATCAATGAAGTAATTTCTCCACTGTGTCTTACTGGCATGTCACCCAGCTGGATGCTGCACTTCAGTAGTGGATGAAGTGTGTGCCTTCTGTATGTTAAGGACCTTGGGATCCTACTTTTCATCCAATAATAAATGCAATTATTTTATAAATAAAGTAAAATAATTGAAATATTGAAGCAAAAGCCTCAAAACCGGTTTTAGACTACAGAACAAAGTTTTACAGTACAAGACAAAGACAAAGAGATGCTCTACCTGTGAAAACTGCTGGTATCCAGGTGGACACAAGCCAGTTGTCTGAGAGGGAATGGAGTCTGATCTGGACATTGGGCTCTGCTGGTAGCCTGGCTGTAGTGTGGGATAGCCATAGCCAAAGGGCTTAGCAGCCTTGGAAGCATGGGAAACAGGTGGGTTGTGGGCTGACATAGAAGACGAGTCTATAAAGGGACAGAATAATCATTGGAACCATTTCAGCAATAGATGATACTGCCATGGGCAAGTGCTGAACAGCTCTATTTCATTATGGGATACAGTACCAGCTACTATGCCACATTTGGTCAAGAAAAAAAAACAGTCAATAGAAGCCAAAGCAGTAAGTAGAAATGTATAAGTAATAATATTAATAAATAATGTAAAACTGGCATGTAAAAGATAGTCGATGATGTTCTGCGACATCCTCTCAATCATGTTTATACAGTAATTTATACAGTATGCTGAAATCAAATGTTAAAAAAATCTCCCACTATGGCATCTTATTTTTGTATCTATTATCATGTTTTTAATGGAACTGATGAATAACATTGTGGAAACTGACAAAATCAGAAACTTTAAAGGAACAGGCTTGCCCCTGGCTACCTCTAAATGGTAAGCCCACATTTACTGCACAGTAGATCAAAAGTTTTTGTAATCTACTGCATATAACCTTTTAAATAATGTTAAACATGTTTTGTAATTGTGATTACATGTGCTTAAGAAGAATACCTAGGTAGCTCCCCCCTTCCAAGGCCTCATAGTTATTTGGAACTGGAGATGCGCTGCTGGTGGTTGAGGAGCTGTCTGCACCTGAGATGGAAAATGACAACATGCTGGAGAAGCCAGACACACTGCTTTCACCAATCAATCACCAGGCTGTGTGCCTACCAGAGCAACAACCTAAAAGGCATGAGGTACTGCAGAACTACTCAAAATAAACAAAGCAATAAGAACAGAAAGAAAAGCTACAAACAAGCTTATTCATAGGGTGAATTATGAGCCTGGCAAATTGAAAAAGACAAAGCCTAGTAATCCTATTACCTTGCTAAATTATCCATCTCTTTACAAAGCATACTAAAGGAATCATACACAGTAAACGAGTGAAGGCTCCATGTTGGCAAGGATCCCGGAGAGAGGTAAAAACTAGCTCTTGCTTTCCCAATGTGTAAAGTTGTAAATATTACCCAATGTTTGATATAACTATGCTATGGTAACTACAACACAGAGCATGTACAGTACAAACAAATTTCCAGGCCAAGATCTATTGTCCTCAGTTAACTCTATTACCTTCGTGCGTAATAAAAAGCATAAACTAGTCAGAAACTGCCCAAAGACAAAAGATTTATCTTCTTTGAAAATGCCAAAGAAATAAACTTGTTTTACTAACATAATCAATAACAGAATCAGCACCTCTGAGTTTATTTATCCACAGAGGACTCAGAAGACTTTGGACAAAGACCATCATTGAAGCTTTAATTTTTATTTCAATGTGTAATTATTTTAACACAGTCATGTATCCAGCTGTGTACCACTGGGATCACAGTTGAAACCGATGTTTTTCGGGTGAAGCAGCACTCGGTAGTCTAAGGGTCAGGGGGGTTGGTTGGGGAGGCAGCACTGTGCTTTGCAGTAGCAAGGAAAATCCAAGGGGTTTGGACAGGAACTGGGGAAATTCAACCCAGTGTAAACCAATGCAAAGTATAACATGCAGACAACATTAATTCACCAAGGTAATTTTGATAATCATCAACAAATAAATTCAACAGGGAAGAAAATTTAAAAGACAACACGAAAAAAAAACATTTAAAATAGGGGAAGGGTATGTTAAAGCTGAAGCAGAAAGATTCCAGTGAAAGCAACCAGAAAAGATTGACCACTTTGATGGGTAGTAAATTCTAGGATTTCAGAATACTTCTCAAAGCTCTCCTGGATTTTCCCAGAAGCAGCCTGCTAATGTGTGGCAATAAAACCATCAGCCTGTGAATTATTCTCCAGCTTGTCATTCCCCGCACTGCCAACACAGAATCCAGAGTATTCGTCGCAATTTAAACAGGACCAAGTTGAGCTGCGGACGGTTGGTAGTAGATACTTGGGCAGGCAGCAGGGAGAGACTACCTCACTAGCTAGATTCGTCTCATGATCCTAGTCTGTTGCGCTGCTAATTTGAAAGCTGCAGTTAACAACCTTCAGCTCGGTTTCATCCTGCTCGGCTCTTCTTCCATGCAATTCCATCAGCCAGACCGAATCTCAAATGAATTAGCAGATGTTGAGCGCCTATTATATATATGACCTTAAGCAAGCAGAGAAAAATTCTATCTCATAAGAAGATGACAAAGAATGAAAAAAATCTCCTGTTAATTAACGCATAAGGCTCATATAAGAAAAAAGGCTGCGCATCACATTCTGGAATTGTCTGTTTGAAAGCAATCTAATGAAAATTGTTTGCTCTGAAGAACACAGTTCATTAGAAGGAGCTGTTAAATACATAAAGATCATCACAACTAATTATAATAAATATCTACAGACAACTTAGGCTAAATGTTATTATAGAGCTACGTATACATCCATTATCAGAAAGCTGCTTGTTCCTGGAAGGATTGTGGTAATCCAAAGCCTGTCCACAGGACTACAGCCTAAACAAGTAGCCAGTCCACATCAGGGCACACTTACAGGGACAATTCACAAAAACCAATGAGCATAGCCATCACGTCTTTGGAAACTGGGTTGAAAAACTAGAACACCATGAAAAATGTCACATAAAAACATGTAGAAAAAGCCAGCTGCACCTCAGTCTATAAACAAACCCAGTTAGCAAGAGTTTTGAGGCATCAGTGCTAACTGTTAGTAAATAAACTGAATACAACTTTTTTCTTCAAATCTGTTGGATACCAACCTAGTTACTAAAAGCACTTAAGAGTGGCCTGAATCTACAGATTGCGTTGTGAATGCCACTGTGATTCTGGTCAGAGGCAAGCCTTAACTGACCTGTGTTTTTAACAGGAGGACTCCAAACAGCTAGAAGACTAGTGTTAAAAGGGCTGGAAAACTTGTAAAATAAGTGACCCACCCCTCAACCCTGAAATGGAAGAACTGATTAGAAACTGGATGGATGCTTTCCCCCCCAATCAACAATCTTATTTAGAATATGTACAATAATTTAAAAAATAAGAGCTGTATTCAAATAAGTAGTGTTTAATAATGTATTTCTTGCCTGATGCTTAATTATTTTTCCATTTTCATCAACGTACATTTAGATTAAAGTGTCCCTGTGTAAACAGCTCTAAAAGTATACTTTACAATTGTTATTGTTACCGGGGATCACTCATACAATATTAAGCAAGTTGTGAGGTTTTTTTGTATATCTGCAATCCCCATCCATCCCTCTACCAGTCACTGGGGAGCTGGAGCCTACTGTGGAAAGAAGTAGGCCTGGGCCAATTTTTCCAAAAGCCAATTAACCTACTAGTATGTTTCTGGATTGTGGGGGGAAAACAGAGCATCCAGAGAAAACCCAGGGGAACATGGGGAGAACAAACTCCAGTGCTGCAAGGCTGCAATTCTAACTATTATGCCCCTGTGCAATCCCCACTAGTATATATTCAACTTCAACAGACTTTAAAATATTTCTGTACATCTATAGATAGACTTTGATTGAATTCAATGATGTGCTCTGAACATCTCCAGGAATCCACACAGTTCTATACAGTCCCTTTGTAGACTAGCCAGACATCTTGTTTTTTCAATTTCTCATCATGTCTCATCTTACTGTACACCAATTAGGGTGGTGTCTTCTCTTGACAAATTAATTTCAGCAGTTACATTTATGTCAGCTCATCTGATCGTACTATGTAAATCAAAGTACAAGGGTTTTGTTCATATGGAGTAAAGCAAACAAATATACAGTATCTACAAAGTTCAACTGCAATAATGCAACTCTTAGGTGCTTCATATGTGCTAAGAATGATGGGACAGTTAATTAAAGTTATGTACATCTTTAGATAACTGACTTCTTTGCACATGCTCCCAATACCTTCTACAATACAAGGGACATTTGTGTACTTTACAAACTCATGTAGCTGGTGAATGCAAAAAGGCACAGAGATAAAGCTTAGCCCAAACAAAAGGATCAAAGGATTGTACTGTGTAGGTCTGCAATGTGATTTTAAAAGGTGAGGAAAACGAATGGAAATGTAACACATAATACGAGGTGGGCAAGGGACAGGGAAGGGGATGGAGGTGTTTGAGTATGTTGAATAGGTGGAGGGATTAAAAGCTAGCAGACCTGCTTCCTCATCCTCCTCCTCCTCCTCATCATCATCAGAGCTCGATGACAAGGGCGCTGCAGCAGAGCTAACTTGACTATTACCAACATATCCGTAGTGCATGCCTGTGGAGTGGAGAGCACAAACAACTGTCAGCAAAGAGAAAGAATGCCCCAAAGTCAAAGAACAGAGCACTCAGGACTGTCCTTGAACTTGCTTATTGTCACTTGGCAGTGATCAGATCATTACTTGGTGATGTACTTTAGCTTAGGATAACAAGCAAATATGTGTTAGTGCCTACTGTAATTATAACAAATATTTTCTGTATTACTGCACCTGAGTTAGAACATTCTTGTTACAGTTTAAAGGGCAAAATTACCATGTGTTTTTATTTTTCACATGCTTATGTGTTGGATTTTTTGTGACGTATCTCAACCTGTCAAACAGAGGAATCAGGAACCAGGATCTTTGTTCTGCACTACCACTGTGCTGGGTTATCAACTACCACAGAAAATACTTTCCTTATTGGCCACACGAAAACGAATGCACACAGCTGAAGTCCCTGTTGAAGAATGCATCTGTAATGCGTAAAGAATTTAGCTGGAATAGCTCATCCAGCCATGCAACATGAAAATCGTAATTCCCAGGTCCATAAATCTTTGCTGTGGTCTGGCCCATAACTAGATATACCTAGTGATAAAGTACAAATGAGCTTGAGCCCTGTACAAGCATTACAGCACAATCAGGAACTGTACCAGGAAAGGTGTGAAAACTACAAATGTCCGGTTGCTAGTTTTGTCTACACAATGCGTGAGCACCTTGCCTTGCCACAAGAGCACATATCATGATGCGATTTCAATAAGCTGACATATGCCCTTCCTATCAAAGCTGAGTTTCTAATGACACAGTTTTGTTAAACTAATCTCAAATTTTCCAGATCCAATGTTCAAAGCACAAACATTCAATAAATCTAGAAACAGAATATAACCTCTTCTCTCAATACTAATGTGTGCCCTTCACATTTTTTCCAAAATGACCTATGTCCAAATGACCAATAAATAAGGCTGTAACAGTATAGGTTACTAACTTGAATTGTATTTGATCAGTATAGACAAATAAAATTGAAACGCATTTTTATGTTGAAAGGATTTCAGTCAAGGATGTTGTCTGGGAACCTTTGTCTGAACCAGAAGGGTCAATGAGTGGAATAAGCTGCAAAGACATCCTTTACCATGAAACAGTACACTGGCTGAACTGAACAACTAGTGACATTATCCTCCTCTCTGGATATTAAATATAAATAAGTTATATTTAATATCCAAGCTGCAGTTACTCTAAGATAATATGAATGAACCACAGCAAAGGTATAAAGCAACAATAATTTCTCTTTTAACCACAGCCATAATGTGTGTGCTGTTCCCCAAATATGTTTTTGGTATTTAGGCTTATATGTTACAGCTACCAAATAAAACAAAGCAAATGTGATTAAATGCCTTTTCTATCTGTAATGTAGCATCACCTATGCATCAGATAGTGGTAAAAGAAAAAAATGCTCTATTTACCAGGACAGTAGGGCAAAACAGCCCTCCTCACTAAATTCACTGCTCACAATCCAGAAGTAGATCACCATCAGAGATGTCAGTGAGATCTAACAAGTCATCTTGAAATATCAAGCAACATACACATATGTAGCACATATGCACTACAAAGACAATACAAAATCAGGTGTTAGCACTGAATTTACTGTAGCTAGTTAAGCAGTTAAAAGTTCCACACAACCTTATGTAAGCAGAAATGTATGTAACCCATTTGCACTTACAACTGCTATTATTACAATTAATACAGTACTATAATAATACAAAATCACACTATTACAATGTTATTACAGTAAAGAATAATACTGTAAGCATACTTAGAGGAGTTATTTTATGGCACTTTTACATCACTATTGCTTTTCAACCATTACTAGGGTAACACTGCAAACACAGTGGAACTTATCATAGACAAGACTGAGGCCACATGCAACTTTTTATGTAAAACTAAAATTATGTAAATTTGGAGTTATGTAAATTGGGAAATATCAGTATAAGTCTAAGTAACAATACAAAGTTAAAATTATTAGCCTACAGCAAGTTTAGTCAGTTTCACTATATGAAAGGCAGGATGCTCAGAAAACTCAATTGAATTCAGCTTGTAACCTAATATTTGCAAATCTCCCTATTCAATATGACTGCTGAATATAGAGATACAGAGCTTGGGATCTGTACATAGGACCTTAGGGGCATTCTTCAGGTATTGGTTAATAAGTTTAAACAAGTCAAAGAACTAAGCCTAAACTGTGAAAAGCCATTAAGATCCACATGTTAAATGAGCTTTCAGTGGGGGTCTGCGTCAGCATTTGTGCTGCACAGGAACAAGTAGTAGAGGTTAGCTCCACACTGACAAGTAGGAAGAGTAACAATTTTGGATGCTGAGCCTTCTTCTGGTGCATATTACATCAGCTGTGCAAATTCTAACTGACTGACCCTCCCCCCCTACGAACATTCAATGCACTATGGAATAAAACAAAAACTAAAGAAATAAAAAATATAAAGATAGACATCCAGGACAGCTGTCTTAATAAAGATTTGCATTAGGAAATGACATGTCACTTCTTCTTCAGCTCCTTTAGCACTTCCACATACCAGGGCTGGGTGACTCTGTGTATCAACTACAGTGCACCTGAGGTCAAAGGTCAACATGGTGAGTTTATCAGATGAAACAAACTTCCTGTATCTGACCACAGGTCATTCATTCTTCTAATTTGAGTATAACTTTGTATTGCATGTCACAACTAGGGAAAAACTCTAATGAGCCAAGGCTTCCTGCAGACTTGCCTTTCTTACTTGGTTGGTGGGCTGGAGAAGAGCCCATGGGTGTAGAGGGTGTCCCAGAGCCTGGCCTGTCTGTGGCCGGGCTGTCAGTATTGGGATGGGTTCTTCCAAATGCATGGATTCCTGCCGGATGATGGCTTTGGTCATTCTGCTGTGCAACAGGAGGAACTGGTGCTAAAGAAGTACCATAACAAAGGTGAGTGTTCAAAGTAAAACAAACAGCTTCTATTTGTCAATACACAGTAACTAAGCGTGTCAATGGTGCTAAAAAGGGTAAGTGTCTAAAGATTAGTTACAAATTAGCAAGTGACTAACAGTGGTATTTTACACTTATTAGGTTATTAACAGTGTTAATTATGTGATAAGGGAGAGTGAAACCTTGAAGACAGACCTCCAGGACATTGCCTTAATATTACTGCTGTCAGTTAATTCCAATATTTTCCACTCTGTTTTCCATTAAGTTTCCAGTACAGAAATTTAGTTTTCAATATTCTAAGATTTACAAGACACAACGGAATGCTGTATCTGACTGGCACCTTAAAACTAAAGCAAAAACTCCGAAGTTACGCTGCAAAGACAATAATTTTACAAATGTGGCGGATGACTATCGGGCAGCAAAAAGTACATTTATTCTGTTGCAACACAAACTGAATTTTACCTGCATTTGCCTGGCCATTGACAGCGGATTTGGTGGCAGGAAATGTGGCGCTGTAGCCAGCAGATACAGATCCAACAGGGACAGGGGAAGCATTGTTTCTCAAAGGGCCCTGTTGCGTAGATATCTGGGGGGCAGCCTGCATGCTGTGAGAAGGTGGGGCATTGGGCTGGCAAGAAGAGGAGTGTATTGTGCCATACTGACTGCTCCCTGGTGCAGCAGGATACGAGACACTAGGGTACGAGGTGGCATTTGCAGTGTTGGGCACAGTCACCACCCCTGATTGTGGTGGAAGTCCCTGAGATGAGGTGGTATATGGTCTGTAGTATGAAGTTGGGTAAACGGCAGGCTGGTAGTAAGGAGCGGGATTCATGGAGGCAGAAGAGGAAATGGAGGCATGAGGAGAGGCAGAAGGAGGAGGCCTGGCACCGCTGTAGGGTTGAGGAGGACCCTGAGGCACTCCATATACAGATGTTTGCTGGCCTGGGGTGGCAGTGGGCTGCAGAGGTTGCTGGTGGCTGTTGTGGTAATAGTTAGTGCCGTACTGATTGGTCATCGCTGGGGCTTTGTTGGGAATCTGGACGTAGTGTCCCGGGACGGAGGTATAGTTCTGCTGAGGCACACTATAACCAGTCGTCGGTGGAAGCATTGAAGAGTAAGTCTGGGCTGGTCCTGAGGAGAAAAAAAAAGGAGGTAATCCAAGTTTTCAGGGATTCGTTGAAAATAAAAGATTTATCTGTTATTAAAAATGTCTATTTTGTATATGTAATGGTATACTGTAATTATTAAAAGTCACTTAAAAACTTAAAGCAATAAACACACTATTTTCTGGAAGGGGGTGATGAAGAAGAGAGGCAAAGTGAAAATATGCAGAAAAGGAAAAAAATACTCTAAACCTCATTTGCCTTCCATAAACTCAACTTGTATTTCATTACTGCTATCTCAATCATTATGATCTCAATGATGAAACCCCTGGAAACTAGAACAGAAAAGACAGGGTTATACCATACCCTTTTAAAGCAGCCTTAGGAAAACAACATAAGAAAGGTTATAGGCCAGTTAGCCCATCTGGCCTGCTTGGCTACTAATACTTAATTGATCCAAGGACCCCATCTAGATGTTTCTTGAAAGATGTCAGAGAAACAGCTTCAATCATTTATTTGGTTCCTTGTTCCATACTACCACAAATCCTAACGTATTTAATTAACCAAATTAAGTAAAACAACTATAAATCAGGATTAGTCATATGAAATGAGCCATATGTACTACTTTACATAAAATGATCAAATTTGGAAGTAAATGCAAAAACATGACACAAATCCATCTGCTGCATCATGAATAAGAAGACTCCTGTATCATTTGTCATACCATCACCGGATGATAAGTAACAAGATTAAGTACAGTACGTGTACACGTCGTGCCTCCCATCTCCATATTATAAAATACAATCTTGATCCTGCAATATAGATTAACAGAAAATCCCACACTTTTACTGTGAACGTCCACAGAGTGGTTCACAATAAAAAGTTTTTTTAATCCTATTTACTAATCAGTAGACAGAAAAAAACATCCTAGCTAGCTAATCACCATGTGATGAAAATAAGTGAGGCCTGGTAAAAAATAAAAACATGAATGCAAAAACTGACTCAGAAAATAGGCCCTGACATCTTTAGACTATCTAGCAAATCTGGCCATGAAGTACAATTTAAGCCTGCAATAACTGGGCCAAGTACAGAAAACTCCAAATGCAAGGGTAAGGAAATCCAATTTTGTAATAGTTATTTACCAAGATCTTTAAACATGTTACTGAACTCTGTGGCTTAAAAGCCACAATACTGGAGATCTTACAGAGTTTTGTTACTCTTTTCCTGCTCTACGCCTGGAGAGTTACAGTGTTATACTTTGGTTCAATAAAGTGAACAAGTAAGAGCTTGGGGAGAGAAAGAAAATCAGAACACTGACCCACCGGTACTGAACAAAAGCCATCACAGCTCAAAACCTTTTCATTATTAAGAAATAACAAGGTATGAAAACGTCGACATGGAGCTGCAACCATGCATACAAACTGGACTGAATAAACTACTGCACTTAATATGAAATACTAATTTCACATCAGTGTTTATAAAAATACATTTGTGAGAAAAAGTTTGTGAACCCCTTGGAATCATCTATATTCCTGCATTAATTGCAGTATCTAAAGTATCTCATCTTAATCAAAGTCATAATAATAAACACAATCTGATCAAACAAACAACACCCAAACAAACATTTTTTTCATGTCTATGTTGAGCACATTGTTAAAACATCCACTGTCTATGCTGGAAAAAGCATGTGAACCTCTAAGATAATGACCTCTATTAAAGGGGGTAATTAGAGTCAGGAGTTCCAATCAATTAGATGACACTCAGGTGTGAGTTTGAGGTGCCCTGTCTTACAAACCCAAAAGTTTGAGACCATTCTAATTTCTAAGAATATCCAGATATTAGTACAGAGAATCTGAGAAAATTATCATCAAATATTCCTTTACAAATCCATGGGGTACGGCTGTTGTAATATTAAGGGTTGTTTACCACTGACGTTGTATATGGTATATGTTACATACTTATTTTCAATGACCCATTGAACATATGCTGTTTTTTCTAGTTTTTCTGATTCTACTGTAACTGTAGTCGGGAAGGAAGTCTAGTATTTATCATGTTTTTAATTCCATTACTACCATTAGACATGGTTTGAATTTTTTCCATCAATACACATTAGAATGTCTTGTCTCAGCAATGTTTTAAGCAAGTATTGAGGATTCTTTGAAGTTTTAGATGAAATAGCCAAGGGCAATTGAACATGCTAAACATGTTTCATAAAGTTGTGAATGTCAACTTTACTCATTGTAAAGAACAAAATGATATGCCTTTCAAGTACCTGTCATATTTTTAATTTTACATTGTCTTGCTAAGCAAATTTAACCTCCAATACCTTGTAGGAAAAAAAATAATTTAATGATCTAATAATTTAATGATCAAAAATCTGCATATTGTTAAATTGTTCTATTACACTGTGCAGTGTTATTTCAAGTTCTTTGGTTCCAGTAAAATAACAAAACATCAATTTTCATTACTTTATTTTGTATACAACTCAATATGCTTTACTAATCAGAAGAGTCTATGAGAGAGTCTCCATATATAAACATGCAAAATAGTTTGCGGTATACCGCTGTATGTTTTCCAGTGGTGGTACCCAACCCTATTAAATTGTCTTTTCCATCAATGGTAGGCATGACACATCTCCCAGTAGCATGCAGAATTATACCTAGATGATTCATCTGACATAATTTAATCCAAGGAAGTCAATAACAAAAAATGTGAAAATAGGCTGTTAAATGAAGATTGTAAAATATTAAAGGTAAAAAAGTGACAAACTCTGTTGAGAAAATGTGATAATAAATAATTTAAACAGTCCCCCTTCAAATGAACAAAGAGCATCTTTCCACATGGAAACCCCAGGGGGTCAGTGTCATAAATAAGATTATCAGTGAAGTATAGCAGCTCTGCAGCTCTAGCCTGCAATAAAGACTCCTAAAACTGTTAAAACTCATACAGTACATAACGCACTAGAATGAGAAACTCAGCCCTCACCACTCACTACCTGTGCAGAGTTAAATTAGAGATACCCTCCTTCAACGTCAAAATTAAACTATCAGGGAGCTTTATAAATGGAACACTTCATCCTAGTTCCTAAAAAATATTAAAAACCTGATTAAATTCCCTTGCAAGCACCATCATTCAGCACCTTACCATACAATTGCGTGTAGTACCACTAAGGACACAGCATCAAGACTGTCTTCAAAAAGTCTTAAATTGTATTACACAGGTTTTAGCAGAAGACATTTGCAGATGAGATGGAGAGGGAGGCATGTTTTTTTTTTCTCAGATTTGTTTAATGAAAACAACACGGTCCTTTCTACAACAAGTACTGCTTCCTTAGGAAAATGTAATAAAACATGTAGGGATGTTTTTATATGACTTAGCCTCTCAGTGCAGTAAATCTTTTAACACATTTTAAAACATGCTTGTTATTATGTTAATTTTATCAACATTACTTAGTAAACCAGTGCTGTGAGGAAAACATTAAATACATTCCCCACCCCCACTGCTATTATACATCATGTACTGTTTCTACACATTTGCCAGTTTTTAAGCACGTCTCAGATCAAGAATATATTTAGAACTTTTTTTAAAAGGTTATTTCCTAGCGATATGCCTTTATATTTTGATGTTTACAAATTAATAAAATACTTAGCTCACCAAGCACAAATAGAATATACAAGTCACTGATTTAATTAAACATATGAAAACGTTCAACCGGTCACAATCATTTAAAGTTAATACATTTGTTGTGCCAATGCACATAGAACACAATAATCCAGAGACAAACTACATCTCAGGTCAGGTCACTTAAAAAAACACTTCTTCATACTAAACATGAATAATATGCCAACATCATTTAACAGGTCATTGGAATCAGTTTTTATACAATAATTACGACTGTATCGTTGGAAACAAAATATTATATTTAACTGAAGCTGAGCTGCTAGGTCCTGCTCATAATTAACAAATAAATCCCCGGTGATGTGTAGTGCTGCGAAGCTTAATTATGTCATCGGGCTCACGGTTTTCATCAACAACTTTTGTCTTCCGACTTGAAAAATAATTCATGCCTTCTTTTCATACGGACGGTGTTTTGTTTTTTTAATCCCTGTACGAACAATAGACGTATTTTTGAATACATAAAAAGGCCCTTTATCTTCATGTCACACGCTAAATGCCGTTTCCTTACACATGCTACATTTCATGTAACATAAAAAATAAATATTAACCCATAAACCGTTATATAAGTCTAGAGCGGCACCGAACACAAACACACTTTACAACACATCTTTTCCTTAGGTGCTCAAAAGCCCACCACATCCCTATTTTCTTCAACCTGTTAAACGAAGGCCTCTTAATCTCCTCGGCCTAACTTACCATTCTGATACGGGGAAGCAGCTCCTCCATTCGGTGTCGGGTTTGAGCAGTAGCCGGCAGAAGAGTTCAGATTAGTGAACCCCGAAGCTGACATCTCTCAAGTCACGATTCAGTTTACGGAGAAATTAATACATAAGAGGAACACACTTGTCAGTAGAATCCACGAGCCAGGGCGTAGAGTTTTGAATTTCCCCTAACAGATAATAGTAATGACTGACTTTGAAGACCCGTCCTTACCGCTTTGTATTTGGGGTGAGATCAGATTTGTTTCTTATTGAGACGATTAACAAAGCTGAATGGAAAGCAGCGCCACCTGTCCATGCAACATAAAAAATACTCGAGGCAGTGAAGCATATGAGCTTCCTTCTCGCCTCTTGCACTCCACTCCTTCTGTTCGTGCTGACACGAAATTCTTCAACTGGTTCCAGAGTAACAATTCCAGGCATTTTCTGAGACTATGTTGAGAGCATGCTTCTTGCGTCTCGTTTTAAAAGTACTACGGGTCAATGTATGTACAAGTTACCAGGGAACTTTATCTTTGCCTTAACTTGACATTAAACACTAAAATAATAAACATGGTAGTACTGGTCTGGCCTATAAACATCTGGCAGTTTCCATCAGTTCTGAAAATCACACTTCTAGCCCTGAGTCTTGCCAATGCGTGTTTGTTTTTGTCATTAACAAACCACAGCAGAGCATATCTCTATGTGTATTTTAATGGGTGATGTATGGTGAAGGAAAAGGTAAAGGTTTATTCCATGCTGAAAAGAAAAGAACAGACACACTGTTCAGGCTGTGGAGCCTACTTCAGGTGTGTGGTGAAGAAAACAACAACAAGCCTTTTTGTTAATCAGAAATATAACAATTTGGATGGATTGACAACCAAAGTAATCAAGAATCAAGAAATCAAGATCTCGATCTGATCCAGACCTCTCCAATCTCTGGGTATGAATCCTAGAGAATACGGCAAGTAGACTGTCCTTGACCAATCACTGCAAAAGTGTGAACAGAGAAGAAAAGAACTGGATGATAACGCCACCTGAAAAGACCACCAGTCAAATTAAATATTTGATACTGCACTTAGCTACATAGACCTTTTCATGCAAACATAGCATGAAGTTAAAACAATATGGACATCTTTTGTTTCATATGATCCCTTAGGTTAAGACAACAAAACCATTGCTACAAATATGATCACATACAGTGCCCTCAAAACTTATTGGCACCTCTTGGTAAAGATGAGTAAAAAAGGCTATGAAAAAATGTATTTGGTTGTTTATCGGCCTGATCTTACACTGAAAATATGAGAGTAATCTAACCTTTCAGTGAGGTAAAATTATTCAAAAATCCTACAATAATAAAAATATTATTAAATATTATAATATTATATTATTAAAAATAAAACATTTTTCTCAAAAACACGTGTCACAATTATTGGCACCCCTAGAAATTCCTATGAACAAAATCTAATTGACATATATTCCCATTCATATTTTACCTTTTTTAAGCATACCTTAGAAATTCTTAAGTGGTCATCCATGACTTCCTGTTTCACTGGGGGTATAAATATGAGGTGACACGCAGGCCAAACACCCTTAGTCATCCATTAACATGGGGAAGATCAGAGAATACACAAATGAAATGAGACAAAAGGTTGTTGACCTTCATAAATAAGGCAATGGCTATAAAAAATTAGCTTCAACTGAAAATACCCATCTCCACTATTAGAGCAGTAATTAAGAAGATTCAAACATCTGGAGCTATGATTAAACCAGCCTGGAAGAGGACGCAAGTGTATTTTGCCCACACAGAAATGGTTCACTGACCAAAGAAGAAGCTTTTGCAGTGGCCATCCCAGTCCCCTGACCTAAGCCCCACTGAGAACCTGTGGGGTGAGCTGAAGAGGAGAGTCCACAAGCAAGGACCAAGTACTCTAAAGGATCTGGAGAGATTTTGCATAGAGTAATGGTCTCAGTTCCCTTTATACAGTATGTGTTCTTCCACCTCACCCAGCATTATAAGAGAAGACTCAGTGCTGTTATCTTGGCAAAGGGAGGGTGTACAAAGTACTAAATGCAGAGATGCCAATAATTGTGACAAATGTGTTTTTGAGAAAAATGTTTATTTTTTTATAAGGATTTTTTCTTTGAATAATTTTACCTCACTGAAAGGTTAGATTTCTCTCAAATTTTCAGTTTAAGATAAAGCTGATATAGAACAAAGCCATTTTTTCATAGCCTTTTTTGCTCATCTTTACCAAGGGTGCCATTAATTCTGGAGGGCGCTGTACATGTTTATACATACTGTACATGTCTATGTATATTGTGTATTTATAGCATGCGTCATTATTGTCACGAGTAAAAATATTGTTATAATGCCCTAAAAGACAATGGTATTAAGAAGAGCATATATAAAGTGAGAAAATCAGAAATAAAGGCAAATATTCAATTGTGTGTAAAATAATTCATTTAATTATTAGCTTGTAAAATTATTAACTTCATCAGACAGAAGCCCAATTAGTACAACTGACTGGCTTTCATCAAGAAAAGAGATAAAACAGTTTCACCTAGTTTAGCTTATTTTAAAAACTCTACTGTCATGGAGAGAAGTTTCGTCTGGCATGCATTACCATTTAAATAAGATACAGTCTATTTCTGATGGATTGGTGTTCTTTGTGGCCACAAACAGGTAATGGTCTAGTTCTTTCTTGGATTTTTCTTCTAGATTTTGAGGTGTGGTATTTCTTGATATCTCTGTACTCTGGATTAGTTTGAGCTTCTTGGGTCTGAAGGCAGGCCTGTCAAAGTGCATCACAGGGAACTCGTGGACGTCTGTCTGTGCACTCACACTCCTCCTTCAGCCGATGGTCTGAAAGCGCTCTCTCCTCAGGCTCTCCCTGTCTCCAGTCCTTGCCCTGGCAGACAGAGCAGCAGGCTGTATGGCCTTGCTGGCGACAGGCCGGGCATGACAAGACAAGCTGACAGCAGAAGCGTGTGGAGCACAACTGATACTGGTCCCATGGTGTGCCACAGTACCTGCATTCTAGAAAAAAAAAAAACAAGAGCCATGAGTTGACAGGTCTTGAATAAATTTATGTCATTATTATTTTCCATAAATGTTATGAACAATCATTTTGTTTCAGTAATAAAAAATTAAATGTCTCAAATTCTTGCATGAAAGACATCCTTGATAACAGAATAGGCTATATACTAAGCAATCAATGTAGACTGGAGCAAAATGACCTGCTTTCCTATAAAGTGCCTTGCAAAAGTATTTATTCCCTTTCAATAATGTCCCATTCTGTTGATTTACATGCATTTCTATCCATTGAATATTTTAATCAAAACTTTGGAATTAATGTATAATTCAACAAATGAGACATTGAGAATTTCAGACAGGTTCATTCCAGATCTAAGTTCAGTTGTATTTTTTAACTATAAGCTGTCACAGTTATTTATGATACTGCTGTCACATAATTCTTTTTAGGGAATACTGACCTGAGATGATGTCACTGCCAGTGGCAATAGCATAGCGCTCATCAAACACAAAAAGCTTTCCATGGTAGAAACCCTCTGGGAAGTGCTCCAAATACTTATGAATGCCACCTTTCAACTGGTAAATTTCCTTACACACATCCTATAGCAGTATATCAATGGGGATAAATGTCAGAGAACAAAATTAAGATTTGAAAAATCAAAGGCAATTAGGTTTTTGATGGCATTTCATCATAACTGCGTTAACTGATGTTCTACTGAGCTGAGTACAGCACAGAGTTTCAAGTACAAGAATTATAAGAAAAAATGGAGGAAAGCAAATTGAGCATATTATTTACAAAACAAAAACTATGGCATATTTACAAAGCAACACACCTAAATCTTCAACACATGCTATTTAACTTTCATTTTTATTTCTACATCAATTGTTTATGCCTAATTTAACACAGTATGACACAGTGGTAACTTCTACAGCAATATACAAAAATAATTAAAGTAACATACATTATCTCACTGAGATGTATCATGTTACTGTGTATACTTATTTAGCTTAAATTACTGGTTAACAAAACATCTTCTACAAAAAATGTTCTTCTCGAAAGCTGAATAAGAATAAATATCATAAGAAGTTATATTAAAGCATTAGAGAAAACTTTTCTCCTGACCTTCGAGCGGAGATAGGCAGAACCTCGCTCACAGCGGATACCCCCAGTGCAGTACATCAGCACCTTCTTACCCCTGAAGAGCTCCAGGTTCTTGTCCACATAATCTGGAAAATAGCTGAATTTTCGAATATCTGGGGCTAGGCATTTAGTGAACTGACCCTAAAAAAAAAAATGGTATCTTCAGCGCTTTATTGAAATCAGAAATAAATAGCACATCAAGAAACTGATAATTGTTCTGTCACAAATAGAGGGAGGTCAAAAAAATAGAATACAGAGTGGGATAATCATTACTATAAATATATAATCATAATTCCCAAATTGTAAAAGATAAGCCAAGAAAATACGTTAGCTAAAACAAAAGTGCCTCTGACTATACCGACTATAGTGAGAGGCACCTTTGTTTTCTGGCACAGCTCTGGTGAAAGTGTAATAAAACAGGGGAAAACTACAATAAACAAATATTTATTAACAATGTCTATAACCCAAACTTAACAACACACAACATCAAAACTTACAAGTTACCCTATTTACAAACCAGGTGTCTCAGAGAGGTGTCTCCATCCTAACCAACCTAAAAAACCCAGATTGCTAACCCAGTAATAATAATAATAATAATAATTGCTTACACTTATATAGCGCTTTTCTGGACATTCCACTCTTATGCTTTACAGGTAATGGGAACTCCCCTCCACCATCACCAATGTGCAGCATTCACCTGGATGATGCGACGGCAGCCATAGTGCGCCAGACCGCTCACCACACATCAGCTATCAGTGGGGAGGAGAGCAGAATAATGTCCCTGGGATTTTTAATGACCACAGAGAGTCAGGACCTTGGTTTTACATCTCATCCGAAGGACGACACCTGTTTACAGTATAGTGTCCGTCACTATACTGGGGCATTAGGACCCACATAGACCGCAGGGTGAGCGCCCCCTGCTGGCCCCACTAACACCTCTTCCAGCAGTAACCTTAGTTTTTCCCAGGAGGTCTCTCATCCAGGTACTGACCAGGCTCACACCTGCTTAGCTTCAGTGGGCTGCCAGTTGTGAGTTGCAGGGTGATATGGCTGCTGGCTATTTAAACCTAAACCTGCATCCCAAATAAAACAAAATACACCCGGAATTACATCTCCATTCCTATAAATCAAGATTCACTCAGAAGGAATAGAAAAATCTCCCTATTCTAAAAAAATGCATTCACTAACCGGAAGAGAATGTTTTTTTTAGATATGACTGCTTACAAATGAAATCAATTTCCTAAAACAACAGAAAGGCAAGCTCCCTTAACCAAGATTCAATTACTTAGCTAGAATCTGGTCTTTAAGATTAATTCAACCAAGGTCCTCTTGCCTGGCACACCTGGTCTGGTCTCTTCTCTCCTGGCGTGTTTCTGTTTCTGTCTACCTGTCTTTTTATCCTGTGTTTCTGGACTGTTGATGACTCTTTATGATTTACCTTACATTTAAATAAGTAAGGTAAACCAGAGATTTATTTTGATAAATGTCTCTCAGACCCCCTATAGTTCAGTAAACACCTCAGCTTCATTCCATTGTTTCTACTTGCTTTGTAACCCTTTGCTCTGCAAGTGTTGACACATGACCCCCTCCCCCAGCTGTAACAGTATTAATGTCAACAGATTGGAATATGGGTATTTACACAAGCCTCTTGGTTGTATACTTAAAAGGGTTTCTTCAGTTCAGTTTCGTTTGACAGGGATCAGCAGACCATGTAGGTGAATGTTAGGAGGTTTTGAGACCAACTGGAAACAATGGTAGTCAGTGTGTGTGCACATTAATTATTGTAGTGTTGCCTTCCAAGAAGTCTTATGTTGTCATTCTTTCAACCTGTTAATAAGGTCAGAAAATTATTGTTTGACGTACAGTGTCAGAGTGGTTAATGTTAAAGTCCACAGTGCCACACTTCCACAAGTAGGGATCTTCCACATTTATTCAGTTTATAGTTAAAGTTGCAATTTATCTTAAATAATAAGATAAATTATCCTTATATTTATCCCAGTATTCTTAAAATTAAGGAATCTTAACAGTATCCAAGACAGTATTTTTCCACATACTTCAGTCTATACACTACGAAGATGGCCTGTTGGATCAGACTCTCCATATTTGATTTCATTCTGATGATGTGTTAACAGATAATTTTTCCTTCACGAAATGTGAACTTCTGATTCACTCACTACAGAATGGATGACGTGCCCAGAGAGAAAACATGGACACTTCAAAGTATTGTGAAGGGCTTGTCAATATCCTAAGAATTATATTTACAAAATAGTTTCTGCTAAGACATGGTACAATCTGTCAAAATGCTGCTGAGGAAAACTCAAGTTTATAGCCTAAATAGAAGACAGTAATTTCTGAATTCTAAATTAGGATGTAATGTTGAATGGTTCGAGTACAATTTGGTACATCTTGACCTTTATTTAAAACACTAGATTTCCAACAAGTTGAAAGCAAAACAAGTATTTAGTAGAAACTAGATCTGAAACCTGCAGTTGAATACTCACTATTTTGCTCTCATAAAAGTTCCTGCAGTCCAACAAAATCGTGTCATTGCAAGATTCATATTTAGATAAAAAAGCTTCGACTTCCTTGTGAAACTCCTTTGGTTCTAAGTGGGTTCCTGCACAAAAATGAACACAGATTCAGAATAAAAAAAATATTTTACTCCCATTTTACATCCATAAATAGATACACTGCATTTACAAAGGATAAATAGATTTAGAAAAAAGGCTGTATGTTATATAGCTGAATTGTAGCCTTTGGTACAATTAACACAAAGCTTAAATAGCAATGAAACTTTTAAAGATGATCTTTGGCGTCTAGATCTAGAGATATTTGTTTAAACCAAATTTAAACCAAAATTCTAATGTATCTGCGAACAAGACTAGACAGCAAAAACATTTTTTTCTTTTTATATTTAAGCAGACAATAAATCTTGTCACCTTATAATAGCTGTATTTTAATATACTTACCGGCAAGCCTATAAGAGAGTATGTCTGGGTCCACCCCCATGGGGACTATTTCTTTAAACACTCCCACCTTCAGGTCCGGGAAGCAGTGAGCCCCACCCTCACTGGTCTGTCAAGGCACACAGTGTAACCTGGCACATGAGTGGTGAAATACTTGCTGACAAAAAACATCTAGGGCTCTTAACTTTGCAGGTAAAGAGGTCTTAAGGCCCATTGGTGCAAACAAGATGACACCCTTTGCCATAAAAAATGGGTCTGATGGTGCAAATAAAGGCCCTTGTGCTTAAGAGGTCTCCAAATTCAATCATTTCAAAGCTTACCGCATAAGAATTAAGACAACCCAAATGCAAAAACCTTTGAAGAGCATATAACAGTTGAACATTTTTCATTTATGTACATTTCCGTTCTTGCTAAAATGCATGGTGAATATAAAAACATAGTTTTAAAAATAAATAATTGTTTCAGCTATTAAACCATGGGATGGATGAGAGCAGATGCTTACATCTCTGTAATAGCGATAAATAGTGAAAATGGATAATCAACATTTCGTGTAGTGTCAATTAAATTATATTTTACTCAATAATATTGATTTAAAATGTCATATATCCTGAGATGTTAAAAAAAACCTGCACAGAACACTGAGAAAACAGTGAATGCCTTTTTAGTCTAAATTAAACCCATTTGAGAGTGTGACTTGGCCTTACACCAGTTAAGTAATTCATCAATTAATTCACCACATGTGAGAAAAACAACATGGAAACGTGTCCAGTTTCATATAAAAAGAACTGTGATTACAACCTTATCCCAGTTCTTTATCACCCTAAGATATGTTTTCACTCAATAAGCACATCATTAGAGGAGAAGTAGAAAACAAATTGATATCTTCTTACCTTGAAATCATCCAGGCACATGATTTTGAACACTGGGTGGGAAAGCATTGCCTTAATATATAATCCGGTAGCCACTTTGCTGCCTCCTACTGTTCCATTAATTCCTTCTGTGGCAACTCGAATCTACAGACAAATATAGACGTATGGACTTTGTATGAAAACAAACAGCAATGGCTTTGGGGTGTCAAAGGAGATGACTGAACGAGTGGGACCTGATCTAGTTATCTTGCAGTGAGGGCGCTCGGGATTTTTTCCTAATTACATCACAGAAGTGAATGAAATTTTTTGTGTCGCTTAACAGCCTTGAATGGTAGAAATAAAGGCACTTACAAGTTTAGAACTGGTAGGAAAAGGCACAGGACCAACATACACATACATATAGAGAACAACAAACACTACAGTACAGACTGAAGACAGTACTGAGTGAATTCAAGACCTGATCTCTTGGTATCTTCCTACCTTTGAACTATATCACCTTTGAACTGTGATATATTTTTATAGTGCTTACCCACCTGAACTATCTTCCTACCTTGCCTTTTAGGTGCAATTTTTGGCACAGTGCCTTCTGCCAAGCACAGATTAGGTGGGGTCCCTCCACTTCGCAATAGCAGTAATACAGCAGCACTTCACCTGGTCCCCTGGCCAGAAATAGGGGACAGAACCATGAAAATTCAATATATTCACAAACCAGAGTGACATTTTCACACTGTTTCATTATAACTGCAACAATCCAGACTCACCACCATGCAATAGTGTACGTCTTTCATGTTTTGTAAAACAAATTGGGCTTTTGAACTGTGATATATTTTTATAGTGCTTAAGAACAGAACCAAACATCTTTACCCATCAAGCTCTGCCTCGTTTAAGTAACTGATGTCCGGAAGCCAGAGCTGCATGTCCATTACTTCCACTGCCTCCTCTGCCGCAGGCTGGGCTGACGTGTTGCACTCTTTCACATTGCCTCTGCTCCCCAGGAGCGTCAGTATGGCCTTTGTGTGTTCCTGAATCTCCAAATCATGTGCCCTGGCAACGTGCTTGTGGATGGAAGCAGGATCCTTGAAGGTTTGGTCGCAACACTGCCAGTGCTTGTCTGACTGAGCAGAACGCGAATCTGAACCAGATGCTGAAACTTTCTTCGAGTCCACAAAAGTGGCAAATGCCTTCAAAGAAAAATCACTCAAGTCACCCGTGTTGCATTTACTCGGATACGTCCTCACTTGAGTGTTCAAGTGAGCATTCAAGCCTGCTCTTTACCACCATTTGCTTTGCTCAATGGAAAATATAATAATAATTACTACTTATGCGTGAGCTTAACAGTCTGTCAGTATGTTACTACATAACATGTTAAAACGTACAGTAAAACCACTTCAATTCAAATGAATTTTGTGTCCAAATCACTATATTCTCTCAACTTGCCATAAAAAACCTACGTCGCTGTGCATACAGTGAGCCAGTGTAGTCACAGAGGGGCGGTACATGAGGTCACTCGATCTCAGCAGCTCCAGAAAGGGCTTCAGTAAACTCTGTCATTATAGTTCTGTGACACTCCCTTGGTCATGGTAAAAAATGTTCTATCAATTCTTTGTGATTAAGTTTGCTAGTACAAGTGATCATGGAAATTACTGGATCCTTATTACCATTTTCTTAAATCAAGAAAACAAATTCTTAAATACTCAAGGGTTTAATATTCAAATATAAAATGATAATCTATTATGAAATGAATTTGTACAGCGACCTGTGTAGCTTTAAAGATGGAAGCTGCACATTGGTGGTGGTAGAGGAGAGTCCCCATTACCTGTAAAGAACTTGAGTGGAGTGTCCAGAAATGTTTTATATAAAATGTAAGAAATTATGAATTATTATGATAAAGATAAAAACAAAAAAGATCTCCCTTCCACACTAAGCAGTAAACCTGAAACCCACCATAAGTGAACATCTTACCCTTTTCTTTGCGTATGGAAACATTTTACGTAAGCTAGCTTCATTTGGGGCTTTTGAGATATTTGGAGTTTTGTTGGTAAAGTTCTCATCATCGAGCTCAGAAAACAACAGAGTGCCAGGTTCATCTTCAAGAATACCAGAGGCTGAAGACATTTTTGATGTTCAAATGGTCTCTTCAGCCTCCTGTAAGAGACAAGAGGAAGGTGAACAGAATTGCTGTTAGAACAGAAATAAAGATATTGCTTTGCCATGTAATAAGCCAAACCAGTCTATGTTAGAAAGGATTACATAAATCTGTGGATTTAATTAACATTCATTAAAAACAGATCACAATTTTAAAGAACTTAAGAAAACACAACCACAAAAAACACAACATCTAAAACATTATAAACAATAAAGCAATAACTTCGAATCTATAAAAAAGTAGCATTTTATTTAGCGCATAATTGTTGTTTCAGTTAATATAAACTGCGGGTAATTATCTGCACTGATTCTGGTTACAATATAATTCTTAATGCTAAGGGTTCCTTCTAAAAACAGCTTCTAAAAAGACATCCAAGATGACTTTCATGAAAGATAAAGGGCAATGGAACTGCAGCCTAAAAGTGAAACTGAATACCAAGAGAAAAGAATAAACAAATGTAAACCAGTAATTTATCCATTTATCCTGAAAGAACAGGGCACAAGGTAGGACTGAGAACACATCACAGGACCAGGTGTACAACACAGAAATTTCCAACAATTTACGTTTCCTCAACGTGTAAAAACGTTGCGTATAAATATAAATTATGAAACTTCGATTTTCAGTGTGCTTAACTTACTTTTCACGTTAACACATTGCAGAGCATCGTGTTTACTGAGAGGGTATCGTTTATTTTTATGTCTAACTTTGCACGTGTGAAGCACATATAATCAGAGACGGCAAAAAAAACCCAGAATCAGCTGTTTTATAATACCCTAATTATTCCGGGTCTTTTAGCCCAGAGTTCTCCATATAGTCTGTTCGTAGTACTTGATTCACATTAGATTAAGACAATATTTTTTCTGCCACCATACCACAAAACTACACATCTGTGTGTACACCATGCAACTACTCTCACTAATACAACTAAAATCTCGTAATCATCGTTTTACATCCTCTTTCACGTCTCGTCAGTTTTTAAAAAGGTAACCGAACAGAAAGAAATTGCAAAAGTTATAAAAACTCGTCACACCTTACAGCGTCAGCTCCTACGGAGGACAAATGGCATTACACGCCACTTTACTTGAACCAGGGAAGTGTTTCCTGTGACAGGCCGCCTGTCCTCCGGATGAGATTGTGTTCAACTTCAGCGCCATATTGCGGCGTTTGAGGCTGTGTGTGTGTGTAAGGAGCTGTTGTTTCTAGAGGCGTGTGGAGCGTTTTAACCTAGGCGGATTTCGCGCTGCAAGTACAAGATCAAGACGTTTGAATAAGGGGACCGACTGAACTCTGTTACATCTTTAGAGGATTTACCTTTATAATTAAATTAAAAAATGTCAAGGAGGCGGCACAGTGATGAGAATGATGGTAGGTGGTTTTTGTATTAGTTTTGCAATTGAGGCACTGTCCACTTTTGATACATGGCTGTCCACTATCGATCGATGTGCTGTGAAATTTTGTTGACGTCTCACCAAAGAAAGTGATGCAAAGCAGTTTTTAATTGAGAAAATCGTTATCGGTTATGATATGGCCGGTAATAAAATAAGCCTCGCTATTTTAGTAGGAAGTGAAAAAATAAGCAGAATGCCCATTTTTCCCATTTGGAGCGGTTAAATCGAACTTTGTAAAAGTTAATTGCTGTCTTTCTGATAATGTAATAATAAACTTATGAATTATTCATTTATAGTCGTGTGGAAATAGGTGCATAGAGATCAAAGCTACCGCTCATTCATTTAGGGTGCTTGAATACTTTCTATGGCAGATGTAATGTTTGATTCAAATGTTGCACTTCTGAGCGGGCTTTTTTCTTCCTGCAATACATTAGCTACTCCAAATAGCCCACAAATTACAGTTATCTGTATAGCATATGTATGAACATAAATACGGAAAACATTTGATAATGCAGAGTAGATTGAATGTTGCACATAGACTGTAGGCTACAGCTTTGTTTTCCTTGTGTGTCTAGTAACCAGGGACCGTAAGTAACTTTAAATTAACATGAGTTTTAAAATAATATATTTTTGAGAAGAATACATAAAGTTGTATGATGATTTAAACCACCTTTAATTGTTCTATTACATTTTCTTTTCCTTGTAATTTAAAAATAATTGCCTTGAGTAACATTTTGGCTCATTAAGTTTTTCCCCCCCCTTAGGTTAGCATTGCAATTAGAGCTTAAGTAATCTAACTGGGTCTTCTTGATATAATACAAAATTCTTCAGTTCAGATTTCTCTTGAGATTCTTTCTCCAAGGCAATCTATGTTCTCCTCGCTTTCTTTGAGCATATGCAACTTAGAATGTTGATAAGCATAATGTTTCATATAGTGCTCTTTCTAATAGGAGGGCAACCTCATAAACGGAGAAGAACATCAGAACCCATTGAAATCGAAGATCGTCTTGAGTCACTAATATGCAGAGTAGGCGAAAAGGTAATTTTTACACTTTTTTACAATTGAAATAACACTTTTAATTAATTAAGCTGGTAGTCGTACCATTTACTAATCACAAAATGGGCTTGTTTTTATCTGATAATTTACTTTCTTAAAACATGTTAACCTTTCTTTTCAAAATACTGCCTGCTCACAAGTTGAATGTCGTGGTATTTAAGAATATGGATTTACTGCATTTCCAAGCTTTTGTGAAGCGCTTCCTTACAGCATTGTGTGCATATTGCAGTGTTGTGTATATAACGTTTAGTGGAAACCTGAACTCGATGATCTAGTTAAAGTGTTCTCTGATATATTAGCACACCTAGCCTGTATGTTGCAAAGTGGCAGGTTTTTCAGCAAATCTAACATGGGATTGGATTTGTATCATAACTGTGCTTGAATGTGCCCATCCTTAGAGTACGTCTTCATTGGAAAGCAACTTAGAGGGCCTGGCAGGCGTCCTGGAGGCTGACCTTCCAAATTACAAGAGCAAAATTCTGCGTATCCTATGTGCTGTGTAAGTGTTGCCCTTTGTGTTTTAATTTAAACTTCCATACCTGTGTTTGTGTACTTAAAACATCTCACTGGACACTTTAGATATGCATATACAATATAACTTTGATATTCACAAGGTTTTGCAAAGTACTACATTCACAATTTGGCAGATAAACTAGTCACTAATAAATATCTGCATTTGTGTGGATGAACTTTATTACAGTAAAGTAATGCTGTATTTATAATAGTAATAAAAACTGTAAAAAAAGGGAAGAAGATACGCTTTATCAAGAATGACAGAAACACTAATGCAGATTAGTTCACGTGGGTAGCTGCGTCAGCATGTGTAGGCTACAAAGGAACAAGTAATAGGTTTATTCCATGCTGAAAGAAGAAGAAAGAGAACACAACGTTTCGGCCGTGGAGCCTTCTTTGGGTGTGAGCCTTCTTCACACCTGAAAAAGGCTCCACGGCCGAAACGTTGTGTTTTCTTTCTTCTCTTTTCAGTGTGGAATAAACCTATTACTAATACAGAGTAAGCTGTAATGGTGATCTAATTTATTTGTTTACATTTGCAACAACTTGAAAACAATTTAGTTTACAGTTCATTTTCATTAAATACTTTTTACCGGTAGGTGCTGGCACTATTTCTGAAATTCTTAAGTTAAAAAAAAAACATTACTACAGAAATCCTCTTTTGACACACTTCGCTGTCCTGTTTTCTCCATTAGGTGTTGCATTCCACATTCGCAAAATCATCATTCTTAGAGTCTTCAGTGTACCTAATGCTCATAAATACTGAGGTTTTGTTGTATGCTGTACATATGTTAACAAAAATTTGTTATATGGCTGAATTGCCTCCTTTCCTTCCTAATCTATCCTTATGTTCAAAGGATAATGGACTTGGATATCAAGGGGTAGATTTTCTTGACAGGCACGTATAACTTTATTGAGAAAGTTGATAGTTATTTTTATTCAGCTAGATTTCATAGCACTACATTTAGGTTTGATAAAGCAACCAGTGAAAAGCTAACCCCAAAAACTCATAGGAAAAAATAATAAGTTTAGGGCATAAGATTAGATTGGCTAAATCCTGGAAATGTCTTTCTCAAAAACACTCAGAATCAAGTATGATCAATTTGCATTTTGTTGCAATTTGACAAGCTTTCATGTATGTCTCTGTGTAGGTGTTCTATGTTTAATGCTATGTATTGAGCCTGTTGTTTTATTATTAGGGCTCTGTAAAATACACTTATTAAAAAATATCGATAATATAGTAATAAAAACAAAAAATGGCAGAAACTCAAAACTGTCCATGGTAAAAAAAAGTGTTAATACAACGGGCCTTATTTTCAGCACGGAAATGTATCCAAGTCATACGCAGGTATATTAAACTGTATGCCATTTTATCACCTGGACTTAAAAAAGAGGGCTGGGTAAGAGTTATAAAACTGCTTTCCAACCTGAAAGAAGTGAATTATACTGATGTACCAAGAAAATGAAGTCTATTTAACCATTTTAAATGACGGCTCAGAAGAGAATGGATTGCGGTTTTCAAAAGCAGAATGAACATGCTGTCAATGCATGTTAAAAACTACCTCTCAGGGAAGCTGTCATCAGCAGAAGGGAAATGGTGGTGCAGTTGCTGTCTTGCTCATTAAGGGGGAATGAGTTATGAATGCAGCGCATCCTTGGATATATGTCATCAAGGAATGCAACATGTCTGAAAACATTGGAAAAAGTATAAAAACGTTTATGGAGATGAATGTCTGTCCCAGTTCAATGAGTGTAAAATGAAGCATTTTAAAGAGAGCAATTGACTAAGTATGATGTGTTTTTGGATATTAAAGCATCTTGAGAAGACTAACACATTTAAATCCACAGGGCTCGTCTCCTTCCAGAGAAGTTGACTGTATACACCACGCTGGTGGGGCTGCTCAATGCCAGGAATTACAACTTTGGGGGGGAGTTTGTGGAAGCTATGGTTCGACAGCTCAAAGAGACCTTGAAGTCAAACTTGTTCAGTGAAGCGGTCTACCTGGTGAGTTAGTATCTCATTATTTTGCAGGAGAAATATGGCACGTTGCTATAACCTTCTAGGCATTTATTGTAAGTGTATCTGCTCTAGTGTCTTCTTTTTCAGAAGAAAAATATTGTTCAGTTTACATTTTGACTGTTTCAAAGAGAAAATCGTAAGAAGTGATTTAATCCCCCAGGCTGCAAGTAACAATGTGGTGAATTCCACAGTAGTTGCCCAGAGTGTTGTTGCACTGTACTTCAGCAGTGTCCCCTGTGACCTCTTGGGTGCCTTTGAGTCTTTAGTGTTGTTAATGAGAGTCTTGTCATGTTCAAAATAACTGCTGCTAAGTCTGTAGGACTTGTGTAAAGAGGTGATAATTGTGATAGTGTGCATTTAAGTGGAAGCATGCATTCCCCTTGTCCACCCACTGTTGGTGCCAGTATCATAGAGGTGAAGCTGAGTTAATCATTGGAGATTCCAAGTCATTGGGTTATTAAAAGAATAAGCTGATTTCAGTGATTAGTGTCAATTTAAAGTGTCCTTAAGCTTCTTCGTGTTTGCAACGATGAATACATATAGGAAGACATTTTTAACATTAGACATTTTTATTTTTTAAAGTTAAATTCACTGTTGCACTACTAGCCAGTCCGTGTTCTGGCAGGATTT